GGCAGACACAAGAGCCCATTAATTTGAATGGACTCCCATGCCCGTGACACGCAGAGAAGTCCCTGCACTTCTTCGGAAAAACTCAGCCTGCACAGGAACCTTGGTTCCCAGTACAGTAGCGCGGGCTGTGCGGGTGGCATGCCATTAGAACTAATGGCACCCGCCCGCAGGTCCGCATTCCTCTGTGCGGCTGGTGTGGTTGCACGGATTTTTGTGTGGATCTACAGCGGCACCACCCGCACAGATGTGAACCTAGCCTAAGGGCACCTTCATTGTCACTGGTTGCTGGATTTCCGTTGGTGTAACTATGAGGAGTCAATTTTGTAAAGCATATTCATTCTTGAATGAAATCTAAATCTGTAACAAGGAAATAAACCAGAAACACAAAGTCTGGCCAAGGAGAATGCTTGATGCTCAGTACATGTTGGATGGATTATGACAACAGGAACAGACTCCACATTTAACACTTTCCAAACTTCTAGATCAGAGGTCCCCAAACTACAGCCCATGGGTCTAATCCGACCCAGGGGACAGGCTCCCCTGCTGGTGAGGACATGATGTATGGGGGCTGTGATGGGTACCCTGACATAAGGGGGGACTCTGATGTTAAGGAGGACCATGATTTAAAGTGGGCATCGAATGTAGTGACATAAGGGGGCTCTGATGGTAACCCTGGTGTAGGGAGGTTTCTGATATGGACCTAGGTGTAAGGTGGGGGGCTCTGATGGGGACTCAGATGTAAGGAGGACTGCTTAGGTGGACCATGATTTAGGGTGGGCACTGATGGGCCCTGACATAAAGGGGCTCTGATGGGAAACCTAGTGTAGGAAGGTTTCTGATATAGACCTTGATGTAAGGTGGGGGGCTCTGATGGGGACTCAGATGTAAGGAGGATTGCTTAGGTGGACCATGATTTAGGGTGGGCACCGATGGGTCCTGACATAAGGGGGCTCTGATGGGAACCCTGGTGTAGGGAGGTTTCTGATATGGACCTAGATGTAAGGTGGGGGGGGGGGGGGCTCTGATGAGGACTCAGATGTATGGAGGATTCCTTAGGTGGACCATGATTTAAGGTGGGCACCGACTGTACTGACATAAGGGGGGCTCTGATGGGAACCCTGGTATAGGGAGGTTTCTGATATGGACCTAGATGTAAGGTGGGGGGCTCTGATGGGGACTCAGATGTAAGGAGGACTCCTTAGGTGGACCATGATTTAAGGTGGGCACCGGCTGTACTGACATAAGGGGGCTCTGATGGGAACCCTGGTGTAGGGAGGTTTCTGATATGGACCTAGATGTAAGGTGGGGGGCTCTGATGGGGACTCAGATGTAAGGAGGACCATGATTTAAGGTGGGCACCGACTGTACTGACATAAGCGGGCTTTGATGGGAACCCTGGTGTAGGGAGGTTTCTGATATGGACCTAGATGTAAGGTGGGGGGGCTCTGATGAGGACTCAGATGTAAAGGGGACTCCTAAGGTGGACTCTGATGAAAGGGGTGCTCTGATGGGGACCCTGGTGTAAGGGAGGAACTCTTACTGAAGTATCTTTTGTTTTGAATCATATCATGCCAATTCCAATAAAGATCCAAGTAAATCATATTAATTTATTTATTCATTGAATTATAAAACGGAACCTTTTTGGAACGCGTGAATATTTGTAAAATATATGATGTGTCCCTCATTTTGAAGTCTGGAGACCCCTGTACCAGACAGATATACACTAAAAGAAAGATGCATGGATAGATATATAGACAGATAGAGTGAGCTGTCCATGAAGATACATATTCATGTATACACTAGTAAAAAGTAGTTCTGATTCTAAAGCAGACCATATTTTATAGAATTTTTCTTTCCTGCAACCATGGATTGCAGGAAATAAAATTGTTTGATCCCTCCAGCAGAGCTAGCGGGGAGCCTTCCCTGCAGGCAGGACACAATGATCACTGCTGGCAGCCATAGCCAAACAAAACCCCGACAACCTGGCTGTACTAAAGTGGATCGATGGATCCACTTCAGTACAACCAGCCTGCCCATAGATAGATCGAATCATGGCCGGTGCCTGCTGAACGGCCGAGATTCAATCCATCAATGGTTGGAAACCTCTTTATGTACCCAGTGAAAAGAATGGCCTTGGGTGATAGACAGAGCTGAAACAAATCCTCTTAAATAGGTTGTACCTGCTTAGCTGTGGCCTTCTCTTCTCCACATCTGTCCAGAATGTATAAAGCTTGTTTAAGTTCTCAGAAAGAGGGGCTGAGTGCTGAAATTACACACTGCAGAGCTCAGTGAGGAGAATCTGATTGCTGATTGGAGGGAAGGGACACACCTCCTTCACACAGCAAACAGGAGCAGAGATGAGGCTGTCAATCACAGGCTGCGTCCTCCCATGTCACCACTTTTCTTTTGGTGTCAAGAAACGCATCAGACGTGACTTATGCTGATAGCAGAGGAATGGGGCAGCAGAAAGAAATTACACTTAGTGCTCTGGATTAAGACAAGTACACGTTATAGAGAGATGTGCTTTGTTCATATTTCATGTCTGAGGTTTACAACCACTTTAAGTCATGATGGTCTTATTGTTGATTATGTAGAGAGTAACATTTTACAGACACATTCTCACATTAGCAAATTTAAAATGATTAAACTCAGGCAGTCGTGTTAAGGAATCGTCTGATATTTATGGTGAGATTGATACAATCCAGAATACACTGAAATATCTGAACATCTAGAAGTTGCCGTAATGAACTGTGTTGGTGTCAGTGTCATTTTCAGTAACATGAGATCCAAGGAAATGGATGGAGTTTATTGGTTAAACCAGTGCAAAGTAACTCACAGCAACCCCAGTTCATGCTCAGTGAAAGACTTTGGAACGGTTGCTATGGGTACTGTACTTCATTTGTGTCATAAATATACAAATGATAATAGATATTAGGTAAAATGTTTAAAGGGAAAGTCTATTCAAAACTTGCATTTTAATTGTGGGTTTACAGTGGAGGGCTGGACCACTCACTGGCTTCCTAACATCCTTCAGAGCCTTCGACCATGAGATACTGTGTTTGCGCCATACCCCTTCTATGGTCTTTATGAAATGGCATCAATTTCCCTGTAAGCTTTTTTATTGCAGCAATTAGAGTGATAATTAGGGGTGCACCGAAATGAAAATTCTGCTCCCGAAACCGATTCAGAAATGCATGTGGCCGAAAAACCGAACCGAAACGTAAATGTCTGTGTATGTGGGGAGGCTCCGAATGATTTTTTTTTTTACTTTCATGTATATTTTTTTTTATTTGTTTTTTTTTTACTTATGATTTTATTGGTATCACATAGGGGACCAATAGTCCCCTATGTGACAGCATATAAGTGACAGGTCCTCTTTGTAGGGGGGGGGGGGATGGGGGGCAGTGTGCAAGGAGGGGGCAGGAGTGTATACAGTGAGGGAACAGTGTATCCAGAGAGTGTATACAGTGTATACCGAAACATATCGGACGAAAAAATTTAGCCGATACAGGTGTGTACTGCAGATGTGAGGGGTGGGGGGGTTGGGGGTGGTAGAGAAAGGCAGGAGAGGAGCAGTGTTTACAGTGACTGGCTGTCAGTATAGGTCAGTGCCGATTTTTAAATGCAATTGCCGGCTTTTTTTTTCTTCTTCACTATAGCTCACAGAATTAGCTGTCACTTTCCCCTCTGCTAAAGGAAGCTTTGTTTCTTTTATCTTGGGAAATAAACTAAAATGAAAAATTGTTTCTCTTAGCTGTGGGGAAAGTGACAGCTAATTCTGTGAGATATGGTGAAGAAAAAAAAAAAAGCAGGCAATTACATTTAAAAACCGGCACCAACATATACCGACAGCCAGTCACTGTATACACTGCTCCTCTCCTGCCTTTTCCCGCCCCCCCCCCCCCCCCCCCCCCCCCCCTCACTTCTGCAGTACACACAGTCTCCTGTATCGGCTAAATTGTTTCTGCCAATATGTTTCGGTATACACTGTATACACTCTCTGGATACACTGTTCCCTCACTGTATACACTCCTGCCCCCTCCTTGCACACTGCCCCCCATCCCCTCCCCCCTACAAAGAGGACCTGTCACTCATATGCTGTATCCTGTATCAGCTACATTTTTTCGGCCAATATATTTCGGTGGCCTCAATTTCGGTGCATCCCTAGTGATAATGGATGGAAAGCTATCTTGTTTAACAAGTTAGAAAATCTCTCTATGTCACAACGACCAACTCCAACCATCAAAGGCAACAGTTCCACTATTCCAAGATTCCCAAGTCAGAGATGGAGGTCCCACTCAGCAGGCAGTATGGTGGTAGCTGATTGCAGAGCATGGCCCCATTCACATGGGTATTCTGATCAGGTCCATCTGTCAGTTTATCAGATGGACCTGATTTGACCCTCTATTCAGCCCTATGGACCAGCAGGTGTAAATGGACTTGCGTCTGTTTACCCCTGCCTACCTCCAATCCAATCAAGTCTGCTAAAAACAAACAGAAGGGAATCTGTCCCTCTCTGTCTAGGCAGGTCGGATTAGAGGGCAATCAGGTGTAAACGGTCTGTTTACATCTAACAGCCCATATAACAGAGGGAGCTCTATCCCTGTCCGCTCTGCATAAACTGGACAGTGGACAGGGACCTGTCATCCACCCGCTCTCATCAGCAGGCAGATCCTCTGCTAATTATTTTCAGTCCGCCCCCTGTGAAAGGGGGCCTTATAGGTCTAACTCAGCAGGGGGCATATTGTACCGCTACAGGGAGACCACTGCTTCAACACAGAGAGCAAGGGTCTTTCATTGCAGCATACTGGCAGGGGAAAGGCTTTTCTACTAAGGCCATGGCTACTTTATAAAAACAAACTTGCACACGTTTTGTTTTGATGCACCTGGCATGTGTTTAGCGGATATAAACTGAAAGATCTGTTGGGCTCTAAAGAGGTATAAAATGGGTGGTGCAGGTCTTGCAGTCAGGACAGGTCCACTTTGTACGTGTGTCAGAATCAAAGTTCTGTATGCTGCTCAGAAACCTCTTCAAGCTCCAAGAACCTTGGAACGGTTCCACGCAAATTTCTTCCCGTCCGACGTTTGGCGCCTGCACCTTCGTCATCGATGGACAGTTCTGCCTTCCTACGTTTGCGGGGGCTTCATGCTTATTCGAATTTTCTGAGCAGCAAAGCTAGGGTCGGCGGCATCCATCATGGCAAGGAAATCGTAGTCTGGGAGTGGAGGACCCCAGTCTTCATTAGATAAGGAATCTGAAAACACAACAATATAAAAAACAAATTGTTCCGGAATGTGCAGTCAAAACAGCCACAGATTCAATTGGGGCTGAAAAAGAATGCAAGACATAACCACTAGCAGACATTATTCACTGTAAGAACTTATATCAGATAACAGGACGTTTGGGTGTGTGATGAACTAACAGCACAACACAGATGAATCAGTGACCCCGACCTTTGGACAATGAATCAGAAAGGGAGACACAATTAAAAGTGACTCCATCTTTGCTCTCTAGTGAATTGAAGGGGTTTTCCAGGAAGGACTAAAGCAGAACTCTATTCAAACTGCTAAATACTAGGATAAAATTGATAGAACTGATCTGACAAAAAACACGTCATCTTCTTCAGTCGCTCGTACGGAATCGTACGGAAATTTTGCGGAACCACTGATCGAATGATTTTCTCTTCGTTGATGAGCAGGAGGTTTTAACAGATAACGATATTGTGAACAAAAACATCCGGTTGAATAACAGTGAAAAATGTTGTCGTTTTGCATGCGAACGACCGATTTTCTATGTGTCGGTATGACGGTCGTACGAACAAAATCTATCAAGCGCTATCACGCATGAGCAGAAACAGAAGATGACCCGGATGTTGATGTCCAAGGAATCTTCGTAAACACGAACGAAAAATCCAAATGTTAAAAGGAGATTGGCCTAATGAGATGATGAAACCAGAATTCTGCAGAATATATTTTATTGTACACATAAAAAGTGCGCTAATTATTCACAAAACATGCAAGGATAAATAATAAAAATAAATGAATTCATAAATATAAACATAAGTCCAGCCAACATAACAGTGATAGTCCAATATCAACTTAATGTCAATCTTGAAAACAAACACCCGTGTGCAAAACCGACACCAGATGAAATGAATACACTCACCAGAGCTATATGCTGATTATATTATAAACCAACATGATAGGATTTTGCTCTGGGAGCGATGATCTGCAGGATATCCCAGTAGAGGAACAGCAACCAATAGTGATCCAATCAGCACATATGGAACAGCTAGGCAGCACATATGGAACAGCTAAGCAGCAAATGATCTTCCAATAACATGGGCAAAGCTCGAGGAATAAGAAGAGATATGATGGTGCAGTACGTTTAAAACGTATTCATTTCATCTGGTGTCGGTTTTGCACACGGGTGTTTGTTTTCAACATTGACATTAAGTTGATATTGGACTATCACTGTTATGTTGGCTGGACTTATGTTTATATTTATGAATTCATTTATTTTTATTATTTATTCGTGCATGTTTTGTGAATAATTAGCGCACTTTTAATTTGTACACTATTTTACCTTTTTTGGTTAGAGGTGCTGCTTATTATTTGATTTATTTTGCATTTTCTGTGGCGCTTCTTATATCTGCTGTATTATATTTTATGTATCACTATTTATGTATATAGGTCATGTAATAAACAATATTATACTCATTGCTGGTAATCGTTGTGTATATCGCTCGTTCTGGCTGGAAGGGCGTGGCTACAAGGTCACACGCACACCGCATCACTTCCACTTGTATGGAAGAAGTCAACACTACTTATTGCCTGACGAACGATTTTTTTAGATTGGTTAATGTAGGCCACGATTTCGACCAACGAATGAATGCCTCTCGGTCGTCAGATGACCGATCGGTCGATTTTCTAATCGTGTACAGGGGCAGACTGACAACTCAACCCTAGGCAATAGGGGATCATGGGGCCCCTGTGTCCTTGCCCAAACTCAAAAAAGCCTATAAAAAAGGTACCAGGGGCATCTCATGGGGCCCCCTACTGACCCCGGGCCCTCGGGCAGTGCCCGAGTTTCCAAATGGTCAGTCCACCCCTGATCGAGTATTCCCACCTTTACACTCTTAAAAGCCTAAAGGTGACACTAATGTTCACAGCCTCCAGCTTGGCAACATACACGGCTTGAATTTTGGCTGATTTGCTGAAGCCATGGGTGGCCCTGCCTGCACCACCCAGCTCAACGCACTTCAATATGGGAAATCGAAGGAGCTGAGGATGTAAAAAGTTGGCCAAAAAATAGCCAATCAGCAGCAGTCATTGTTGGGTTTTCTGTCAGCCGTGGGTGCCAGTTGTCAATAGAATAGCTGGTAGCAGCTGATTCATCCATCTATGGTGTTTAGTGTAGATAGGGGAACCCATAGATTTTACAGGAGCTGTGGGTGGCCATGCCTCACTGCCCAGCTCAACAAACTTCGATTTGAGAAAGTGAAGGAGCTGAGGTGAAAAAAAATGGCCGAACAATCAGCTGCAGTCACTGTGTGGGTATTCTGATAGTCATAGGTGCCAACTGTTGGAATACAATAGTTGGCAGCAGGAGATTCATCCATCTATTCTGCTTAGTGTGGATGAGGGAACCCACAGATTTCTCTTGTTCAGTCCCATGGGCTGAACAAGAAAAATCTTTGTTTTGCATGGCTAGCTTTACCCTGTAAGGTTTCTTGAACAGCTCACCCTCCAGTCCCTAATGCTTGTAACATGTTAAATTGATAGTTGAAGACAAAGCAATAGACACTGATTCAATTATAGTACTGGCACTCCCCCTTGCTTGTTTTGGTGCACAGGGGGTTAAAAATTCACAGTTGCATATTGGTATTGAAAAAACATATACTGCCCCGGCAATTGGAGCACAGACGTACTATCAAAATGTCTGGCCATAGTTATGTAGAGCAGGTAAAATAAGTATTGAACACGTCACCATTTTTCTAGTTAAATATATATTTAAAGGTGCTATTGGCATGCAATTTTCACCACGTCAGTAAGAACCCACGCAATCCATACATACAAAGAAACCAGAACAAATAAGTTCAAAATTTAAGTTATGTGTAATAAATGGAAAAACAAAGGGGAAAAAGTATTGAACACATGAATAAAGGGAGGTGCTAAAAGGCATAGAAAGCCAAGACACCAGCTGAAATCTATCAGTAATTAGAAAGCAATCCTGCCCCTTGTCAGTGCAAATTAATATCAGCTGGTTCAGTCTCAACTGATGGGCTATAAAAAGGTGTCTCATTACCAAGATGTCACACAAGAAATATCTCATGATGGGTAAAAGCAAAGAGGGCTCTCAAGAGCTTCGCAACCTTATTGTTGCAAAACATACTGATGGCATTGGTTACTGAAGGATTTCTTAACTTTTGAATGTTACAGTGAGCACTGTTGGGGCCATAATCTGGAAGTGGAAAGAACACAATTGCACCATAAACCGGCCATGACTCCTCGCAAGATTTCTGACAGAGGAGTGAAAAGAATTATCAGAAGAGTTGTCCAAGTGCCAAGGACCACTTGCGGAGAGCTTCAGAATAAGCAGGTACAATTGTTTCAAAGAAAATAATAAGTAATGCACTCAACCGCCATGACCTGTATGCACACTCACCACGCAAGACTCCACAGCTGAATAAAAGCATGTTGAAGCTTGTTTAAAGTTTGCTGCACAACATTTAGAGAAGCCTGTGAAATAGTGAGAGAATATAGTCTGGTCAGATGAGACCAAAATTGAACTCTTTGAATACCATAATACACACCATGTTTGGAGGTTAAACGGCACTGCAGATCACCTTAAAAACACCATCCCAACAGTGAAGCATGGCGGTGGGAACATCATGGTGTGGGGCTGCTATTCAGCACACAGTACTGGCAAACTTTATGCCACTGAAGGAAGGTGTATGACATGAATGGCAAAATGTACCAAGACATTCTTAATAAAAATCTGCTGACATCTACCAGGATTATGAAGATGAATGAGGACGGACATTTCAGCAAGAGAATGATCCCAAACACAAAGCCAAGGAAACTCTCAATTGGTTTCGAAGAAAGACAATAAAGCTGCTAGAATGGCCCAGCCAATCACCTGAAAATCTATGGAAAGAACGAAAAATCAGAATTCATAGAAGAGGCCAACGGAACCTTCAAGGTTTGAAGACTGCTTGTGTGGAAGAACGGACCAAAATCACACCCGAGCAATGCATGCGACTCGTTTCTCCAAACAGGAGTACAGGAGGTGTCTTGAAGCTGTCATTACCAACAAAGGATTTTGCAGGAAGTATTAAATAAATGGTGACGTGTTCAATATATATTTTACCCGCTGTATATGTGGAAACTTAAAGCATGCCTTGAGTCGCACACCACTTCTATGAAGGCTACAACTAACTTTTTTTGTTCCAGCATATGCAGAAACACTTCACCCAGGCATGTTTCTCTCTTGATGCATTTTCCACCTAGCGGGGCTTAATCATGGAGCTCTCTATTTAAGCCCCAGTGGGGGATGAAACGTGTCAGTGAGAGACAGATGGGTAGTGTCTTTACATGGGAAGTGGTGTATGACTGTACCATGTGAGTGGTGTATGACTGTACACAGAAGTGGTGTATGACTGTACACAGAAGTGGTGTATGACTGTACCATGTGAGTGGTGTACGGCTGTACACAGACGTGGTGTACGACTGTACACAGAAGTGGTGTATGACTGTATACAGAAGTGGTGTACGACTGTATCACGTGAGTGGTGTATGACTGTACACAGAAGTGGTGTATGACTGTACCATGTGGTGTATGTCTGTACACAGAAGTGGTGTACGACTGTACCATGTGAGTGGTGTATGACTGTACCATGTGAGTAGTGTACGACTGTACACAGAAGTGGTGTATTACTGTACACAGAAGTGGTGTACGACTGTACACAGAAGTGGTGTATGACTGTACCATGTGAGTGGTGTATGACTGTACCATGTGGTGTATGACTGTACACAGAAGTGGTGTACGACTGTACCATGTGGTGTATGACTGTACACAGAAGTGGTGTATTACTGTACCATGTGAGTGGTGTACGACTGTACACAGAAGCGGTGTACAACTGTACACAAAAGTGGTGTACGACTGTACCATGTGAGTGGTGTATGACTGTACCATGTGAGTGGTGTATGACTGTACCATGTGAGTGGTGTATGACTGTACCATGTGAGTGGTGTATGACTGTACACAGAAGTGGTGTATGACTGTACCATGTGAGTGGTGTATGACTGTACCATGTGAGTGGTGTATGACTGTACACAGAAGTGGTGTATGACTGTACCATGTGAGTGGTGTATGACTGTACCATGTGAGTGGTGTATGACTGTACACAGAAGTGGTGTATGACTGTACCATGTGAGTGTTGTATGACTGTACACAGAAGTCGTGTATGACTGTACCATGTGAGTGGTGTATGACTGTACCATGTGAGTGGTGTATGACTGTACCATGTGAGTGGTGTACGACTGTACACAGAAGTGGTATATGACTTGGTATTTGTATAGACAATACTAGTGCTTGAGCAGCAGTTCACAAAAGGGATATTGTGGAACTGGAGAAAGTGCAGAGAAGGGCAACTAAACTAAAAAGACGCATGGAGGAGAATTCAAGGGGGGATATCATCTTGAATATCAAAACGCCTTGATGAATGGATGTCAGTCTGGGGGATTGGGATTTCCTAGAGAGGCCATATTTGCATGCGGACCACCCTAGGCAAGGTCCATATGTGATACTGGGACATCAAGATTGAAAGAAATAGAATTCAGTAGATGAAAAGGGGTGGGCCAGGGTCAATCAGGCTGGGGAGGAAAGAGCTAGATGATGCTAAATAACCTCCAGCTAGAAAATGGGGTGAGCTTTATCTGACATACAGCTTCTAATGCACACTGTGAAAACCTCACAGTGTGCTCTGAAATCAGAGTAAGAAGTTTTAAGCACATGAGAGAAGGCCGTACGAATGTGCAATACTGAAGGAAAACTTCAGCTTTAACAGTATTCATCAAATTGGATTTTAGTTCAATTCTAAGTTTATAACCTAATGTTTTATATCATGTTTGTATTATTTGCTTAACTTTACACACACATATATATATATATATACATACACACACTATATTGCCAAACGTATTGGGCCGCCCACCTTTACATGCACATGATTTTTAATAGCATCCCAATCTTGATCCGTAGGGTTCAATATTGAGTTGGCCCCGCCCTTTGCAGCTATAACAGCTTCAACTTTTCTGGGAAGGCCGTCCACAAGGTTTAGGAGGGTGTCTATGGGAAGGTTGGACCATTCTTCCAGAAGCACATTTGTGAGGTCAGGCACTGATGTCGGGGGAGGAGGCCTGGCTCACAGTCTCTGCTCTAATTCATCCCAAAGGTGTTCTATGGGGTTGAGGTCAGGACTCTGTGCAGGTCAGTCAAGTTCCTCCACCCCAAACTGGCTCCTCCATGTCTTTATGGACCTTGCTTTGTGCACTGGTGAGCAGTCATGTTGGAACAGGAAGGGGCCATTCCCAAACTCTTCCCACAAAGTTGGGAGCATGAAATTGTCCAAAATGTCTTGGTATGCTGACGCCTTAAGAGTTCCCTTTACTGGAACTAGGGGGCCAAGTCCAACCCCTGAATAATAACCCCACAACATAATCCTCCCTCCATCAAACTTTACACTTGGCTCAATGCAGTCAGGCAAGTACCATTCTCCTGGCTACTGCCAAACCCAGACATGTCCAGCAGATTGCCAGACAGAGAAGTGTGATTGGTCACTCCACAGAACACATCTCCACTGCTCTAGAGTCCAGTGGTGGCGTGCTTTACACCACGGCATCCAACGCTTTGCATTGTACTTGGTGATGTAAGGCTTGGATGCAGCTGCTCGGCCATGGAAACCCATTCCATGAAGCTCTTTACGCACTGTTGTTGTGCTCATCTGAAGGCCACATGAAGTTTGGAGGTCTTTAGCTATTGACTCTGCAGACAGTTGGCGACTTCTGCGCACTGTGTGCATGCACTGCCCCCACTCATTTTACGTGGCCTACCACTTGGTGGCTGAGTTGCTGTTGTTCCCAGTTGCTTCCACTTTGTTATAATCCCACCAACAGTTGAGCGTGGAATATTTAGTAGCCAGGAAATGTCACGGATGGACTTATTGCACAGGTGGCAACCTATCACGGGACCACGCTTGGAGTCACTGAGCTCCTGAGAGCGACCCATTCTTTCACTAATGTTTGTAGAAGCAGTCTGCATGTCTAGGTGATGATTTTACACACCTGTGGCCATGGAGGGGATTGGAATACCTGAATCCAATGATTTGCAGGGGTGTCCCATACTTTTGGTAATATAGTGTGTGTGTATATATATATATATATATATATATATATATGTGTGTAATACAGGGTGTTTCCATGCTGCAGGCAAGTATCATGCAAAGTTTCATAAATACTTACAGATTGGTGCTTCCTCTCCAGCCTTCACCATTTCTAGCCAATATAAAATATTAACTTCAGTGAGGGTCTGATCTGCTGGGAGTGCAAACACTTGTCCTTGTGTACCAAAGGTAACCAGGATGAGCACAGGTAGATGTGGGATCAGGCCAAAGTATTTCTTCAGGATCTCATATGCCACAGGAGTTTCCTTGCTGCAAAATATATAATAAAACTGACTCACTCTTTATATAATGTACACTCTGGCAGTATTAAATTTAATTTGCTGCATTATTAAAAAATGTATGTCTGGGCATTTCCAGCACAGTTCTCTAAGATGTGCACAGTTACATGTTTTGTAAAAGTTTTTTTTAAAAGTAGGTACTGAAAGACAGAGTTGTTCTGCCAAAAGTCCAGTAAGCTGAGATGACAACACAGTGGGGTTCATTTACTAAAACTGGAGAGTGCAAAATCTGGTGCAGCTGTGCATGGGAGCCAATCTGCTTCTAATGCGGGCCATAGATGGGTCAAAAATCGGCCGATTTTCGGATCGTTAGTGGGTTAATTGTTCGGCCGTTTTTTTTTCGGTATTTTGGCAGATTTTTTTTATTAGTAAAGTTGGAAAAAGATCGGCCGATTTTGCCGATCGGCCGAATTTCACGGCAATTATGGGCAAATCGGCCGATCTTTTTACCGAGAAAAAATCTGCGCATGAGCAGTGACCTGCAAGAGGAAGACAAAAAGAAGAAAAAGAAGAAGAAGAGGAAGAAGAAGATGAAGAAGAAGAAGAGGAAGAAGAAGAGGATGAAGAAGAAGAGGAAGAAGAGGATGAAGAAGAGGATGACGAAGAAGAAGAAGAGGAAGAAGAAGAAGAGAAAGAAGAGGATGAAAAAGAGGATGAAGAAGAAGAGGAAGAAGAAGAAGAGGATGAAGAAGAAGAAGAGGATGAAGAAGGGGATGAAGAAGAAGAAGAGGATGAAGAAGAGGATGCAGAAGAGAAGGAAGAAGAGGACGAAGAAGATGATGAAGAAGAAGAAGAGGATGAAGAAGAAGAGGATGAAGAAGAGGAAGAAGAAGAGGATGAAGAAGAAGAGGAAGAAGAAGAGGATGAAGAAGGGGATGAAGAAGAGGGTGAAGAAGAGGAAGAAGAAGAGGATGAAGAAGAAGAGGAAGAAGAAGAGGATGAAGAAGAAGACGAGGAAGAGGATGAAGAAGACGACAAGGAAGAGGATGAAGAAGACGAGGAAGAAGAAGATGAAGAAGAAGAAGATGAAGAAGAAGATGAAGAAGAAGAAGAGGATGAAGAAGAAGAGGATGAAGAAGAAGAGGATGAAGAAGAAGAGGATGACGAAGAAGAAGAATTCCAGTCCGGCAAAAAGTGTCCCTGCAGAGAGCTCCGCTATTTCTTTGACAGTTCTTTCACATTTATAGCGGCTGCAACAATGTATCTATTTGTTTCCGAATAAAAACATCTGTATCCGAAATGGATACAAATAGATACATTGTTGCAACCGCTATAAATGTCAAAGAACTGTCAAAGAAATAGCGGAGCTCTCTGCAGGGACACTTTTTGCCGGCTGTAGACGGGATGAAAATCGGCCGATTTTTTTTTTACCGTTCCTGGTAATGTCGGTCGCTTGAACGACCGATTTTTCGTTTTTTTTTAAAGAAAAATCGGCCGGTTTTCTCCCCATCTATGGCCTGCATAACTTCAGCTTGTTCAACATAAGCTTTGACAAAAAAAACCTGGAAGCTGATTGGTTTCTGCACCAGATTTTGCACTCTCCAGTTTTAGTATACCTACCTCAGTGCCTCTAAAGATATAGGGGGCTATTTACTAAGGCTGGAGATTGCCAAAGCTTGACTGAAGGTGAAGTTAGCAGCTGATTGGTTACCATGAACAGCTGCACCAGATTCTGAGTGCACCAGTTTTTGTAAATCTCCTCCACACAGTATAAATAAAAAATGTGCTGCACTGAAATCCCAAGTGGAGTTGTCGTTCTCCTCTGCTGTACTACAAAGAAAGGTGCTGGCTTTGCACATGTCAGCCCATCCCCCCTCTTTTCATTTCATAAGGATATAGGTTTTATTTATAACATAATTTTACCTATTTGATATTTATAGAAGATGATAACAGCAAGATTACAAGGTTCCTTCCTTCCTTCCTTTTCAGAAAAAAATGGGGAAAAAAACTAAAAGAACTATCTTCTCTGTGCAGGGCTTCCAGGACAGATCAGAGTGATGCACCATGCTGGCTCTGACCAATCAGAATTGCTCTGATCCCTCCCAGAAGTGCTGTACAGAGAAAAGGGAGAAGAGGGGGATTTCAAATCCCTGGATCGCTATACCTTGATCCTCTGTCCCAGAGGCGAGGAAGCAGTTCTCTGACAGAGTCACCCAATCAGGGTGACAGGCGATCTGTCACAAGGGGGATTTCAAATCCCTGGACCGTTGCACCAGCTGCATGGGCACTGATAGCTCAGAATCCATGGAGTTAGGTATAGCGGAGAATAGGGGGTGAGGAAGATGTACGGTGTTACCTCACCTTTTTATTCTTTCTGTAAAAGGTGAGCTAACACTTTAAATTAGATTTCCTCTCCTGGATGGTGAAAGTGAGGGTCATGGGCCACAACTGATGTCATCTTTACATGTCACTCCACAAATTCAAAGCAGGTATGATTAGCCTGGTAACTGTGAAAAGAACCCTAGAGTAACACCTTTTAGCTCAGTGGTTCTCAACCTGTGGGTCACGACCCCTTTGGGGGTCGAATGACCCTTTCACAGGGGTCGCCTAAGACCATCGGAAAACACATATTTCCAATGGGTAAACAGCAGCTACTGTGTAGAAAGCAGCTGCTGTGTTGAAAGCAGCTACTGTGCAGAAAGCAGCTACTGTGCAGAAAGCAGCAGTATTGGAGGTAAAACGACACTTCATGAATTATAATCACTGGGTAAATAATTATAGGGTTGGGTTCACCACAACATGAGGAACTGTATTAGAGGGTCACGGCATTAGGAAGGTTGAGAACCACTGTTTTAGCTGGAAATAAATACTCCAATAGTTTTAATTTACCTGATAAAAAAATATTAATATATTATGACAAAATCTATACAAATATATACCATAATACTATACAGTACATTCCCTTTACACCCTTTAACTATGTACTGAGCATGGAGAGGTGACCATTCACTTAGGATAGACGCAAAGTAATGGAAACATTCTCATGACAGTTCCCTAATGTCAACATTGTAGATTAATGGGCACATTACCTGACTGGTACTTACAGATTTAACCAGCAAGCCAAATATGGCTCCAAGTATTTCCCCCTCACCAGGCTCAGAATGTGTTTTCTCATGGCCGTGATGGAGGGGGCCATCTGAGAAGAGGATAAGAAAGGCTCGCTGGCTCTGAAGGAGTGATGGTAGGGTCTCCACTCTGACCTCTGGCTGCAGGACAAAGATAAAAAGGAGATTTACTATTGCCAGACCTAGAAGAATTGGCATCCTTTTAATGTAAAGTTTGTTCGGGCTGAACCCCTAGACAACATAAATTAGGCTAACCACAGGAAGTATTGCGTAGAAGAAGCTGTAAAAACAATGAGAACATGAATTTTAATAAGCAATTTGTCCTGCTTGGAAAAAGCTATTCGTTACACTTTCCATCAAACAAATTTAGCATCATATGTAATTCATTTGACCTTAAAGGGGACTATGGTTATTATAACTTTTTTTTCCCTCAAAGTATATTTGCAATGGGATTAATTTAAAGAGTAATTTCAGGCAATCAGTGAGCTAATGAACTGTGCTAGAGTCAGGAAGTTCTCCCATAATTTACCTGAATTAACACAGTGGCTAATTGGTTAGCATTTCTGCCTGGTAGTATTATTTATTTATTACAGGTACTTATATAGCGCCGTCAATTTACACAGCTCTTTACATATATATTGTACATTCACATCAGTCCCTAACCCTCAAGGGGCGTACAATCTAAGGTCCCTAACCCTCAAGGGGCGTACAATCTAAGGTCCCTAACTCACATTCATACATACACATACTAGGGCCAATTTAGACAGGAGCCAATTAACCTACCAGCATGTCTTTGGAGTGTGGGAGGAAACTGGAGTACCTGGAGGAAACCCACGCAGGCACAGGGAGAACATGCAAACTCCAGGCAGGTAGTGCCGTGGTTGGGATTCAAACCGATGACCCTAGTACTGCCAGGCGGAAGTGCTAACCATTAAGCCACTGTGGTCGTTGGTTCGAATCCCAGCCAAGGCACCACCTGCCTGGAGTTTGCATGTTCTCCCTGTGCCCGCGTGGGTTCCCCCCCAAACTCCAAAGACATGCTGGTAGGTAAACTGGATCCTGTCTAAATTGGTCCTAGTATGTGTATGTATGAAAGTTAGGGACCTTAGATTGTACACCCCTTGAGGGTTAGGGACTGATGTGAATGTACAATATATATGTGAAGCGCTGCGTAAATTGACAGCGCTATATAAGTACCTGAAATAAATAAATTAAATAATTAGTAATGCACTGCAGCCACAATCAAGAAACCACCTCACAGGGTCACTGGGTGTGTGTGTTGTATAATGTGTAATATTTTTTATCTCTCTGCATCCTGTATGTCTAGTTACATATCAAATTTCCCTGAAAGTGTGAATCTGATTGGTGTCTGGAAAAAACTACTCCTTTTTTAAATTAGGCCTTTCTTAGGCAAGGGGCAGAAAGGAGCCTACACAAGGGTGAGCTTTGAAGTACCTCTCCTGTATTGCTAGCCTGGGTTCTCAGAATACCTGATTACACACAAAAGGTGGTTGATAGGTATAGGAAAACAATGCTTGGAGAAAAACTGAGGTATTGAATATGAAGATTTTGCTTCCTATATGCTCCTATCCCTCTTGTATTGAACTGTATTGTTGCTGTATTGTGTCCCATTATATTGTAAAGCGCTGAGCAAACTGTTGGCGCTATATAAATCCTGTATAATAATAATATGCAGTATTGAAGCGCTGCTCCTTTTCTGGGTTAAATGACACCTAGCATCATTCAGCCGACTTGCTGTGAGTTCACAGGGGAATGCTATTCTGCCACAAGAGTAAGATGATCTGGGACAACACCAGACCGGACAAAAGTCACCTGAAAAAAAGGTATGTGGACAATTTTTTAAAGGTGCCAGGGGACCTCCAAGATAGGTGGGGGCAGCAGAGGGGTGGAGGATTCAAACCCAGTTTGGGTTTTTAAGTAGCTTTAAATCGCACAGAGCGCTTCCCATGTATTCACTGTCCAGTGCAGCTGAGGCTGCAGAGAAAAGGTCTAGTGAATCTATGTCCTCATTCCCCTTCTCTGTTTCAAATGTGAGACATCAGGGGGTTTATTTACTAAAGCTGGAGAGTGCAAAATCAGACTCCCTTCTGCATAGAAACCAATCAGCTTCCAGGTTTCATTGCCAAAGCTTCATTGAACAAGCTGAGGTTAGAAGCTGATTGGTTTCTATGCAGAAGGGAGTCTGATTTTGGACTCTCCAGCTTTAGTAAATAAACCCCCAGGGGTCTGTTTAGACCTCTGACATTTCACCAAATAAATAAATAATATAATTTAAAAAAAAAAATAGAATTCTAAAAAAAAATAATAATAATAAAAAAAATGAAAGGCTTGCTTCTCTCTATGAAGAGCTATCAGAATTTGACAGGCGAAGCATTTGACAGGCGGTGAGGAGGCCTATTGACTGCTTTAACCCCACACTAATGTGGTCTTGTTCGAGAAGGGTATAATTTCTGCATTGGCTTCATAGCACAGCATTGTGGCAGTGGCATTTTAGCAAGAATATCATTTGATATTTTTTTTTTTTAGGCAGGGTCCCATCAGGCTGTAAACAAGCCCAGTGTCAAACAGAAAATGCACCATAAACTGGTCTGACTTATGACAGATCTGATAAAAAGAATGGTAATTTTGTAAGAGAGATGCTCGTGAGAATTAGCAGACCACAATTATCTGCTGTAATGAAACAATTGGCAATGTTCTGCCTGTTAAGTGCTCCCGGAATAATGTTTACTCTGTATATATTGCTACACGCCACCCAGGCATTCTTATCTTAAATTTGCTCATCATCAATCAGACAACCAAATTACTACTTGTAGCAGGTGAATATATTACTATATAATTGGCAGATATCTTCCTGGAAGATGATAATAGGAAGAGATCAATAATATAGAGCCAGCATTAACTTTAGGTTTTTGAACTCAATTAAAAACATCTTTAATGATTGTATTTGCCATCTCCTTTACTCCATTATTTATGCACATGCCCTTAAAGTACCGATCTCGTAATCTTTGCGTATGGCCACAAAACTGTCCTAAAAAAAAAAATGTATCTAAACCCAAAAATACAATTGAAAATATTGCAGCACCAGTACATACATTTTGTGACTGCATTTGTTTTCTTTTTTTCTCTAGCTTTTTAAAACTTATTTTCACCTGGTGATCTTGCCAGTAACACACTTCCTGTCCTAGGGGGACCACGATCACCCACTGTACTGTACCCATGCAGGAGTAGCATTGTCACCCTAGGACAGGAAGCAAGTTAGATTGTAAGCTCCAAGGATCAGGGCCCTCCTATCCCTCTTGTATTGAACTGTATTGTTGCTGTATTGTCTCCCAATATATTGTAAAGCGCTGAGCAAAGTATTGGCGCTATATAAATCCTGTATAATAATAATAACTTCAGAACACCTCCCCCTCTCCATATGGCTACCAAGTCAACTGATGAAACATGTCAAGTATGCTGTTGGGAACATTTATAAAATTGTGATTTTAACTTTCAATAGATCCTCATACACAAGGTACCTCATTTTTTGTCACTTCTCTAACCATCCACAATTATGGAAGTTATGTTCCTAAAATATAAGTTCTTCTTTACGTCTCCCTCCATCTTGTTTTGGATTTTTTTTTGTTTTTTTTTTGGGGGGGGGGCAGTTAGTTTTGGTAGGTACCCACTCCCACTTCCAGTCTGAATCCCCAAGGTGATTCCAGCGAGAAGTTTGGCATCCCCCCTCCCTACCCAATGCCTTCTGAGACACAGGTCTCAGAAGGCTGCAGGAACATTCACACAGCTCAGCACTGCTCGAACCTGAGCAGAGAGAAACCAGATGTTAAAGCCGCAAGGAGTCACAGCTGGTTTCCCACACTAAGCATGCCAGTGCTGGGGACCTGAAGACCAGCAAAGGTCCAGCCCCAGTGAAGACCGCGCCGGATCCCTGGACAGGTAAGTGTCCCTTTTTATAAAAGTCAGCAGCTACAGTATTTGTACAGTAAAGAACCGCTTTAAAGAGAAGTTTACTTACCTAGGTGGATGCAGCATCGATTCAATGCTGCATATGTCCCCTGCCAGCTCTAAATCTGAGAACTGAGTGATCAAACACCGCTGATCACTTAGGTCTCCTTGCTGTTCTCAGCAAACAGCCGGGACTGTCAGTCACTACTGTCTGCTCTGCCCTTTTCAGCGCTCACTGGAGAACTATGCTGTGGAGGGGGGGAGGGAGCAGCTCGCTGAGAGGCTGAGCCAGGTGCCGGTCCAGGCATCTGGGCGAATCCCGACCATTTGGTTGTGATCCTTCCCCAGCCTGGACCGGCAGAGTAACATCAGCCTACCCTGGACCTTAGCCTGCTGTTGGCTGCAAACGGGTCACCAGAGGGCAGAACGAACTGCACTCTTGTGATCCACAGGAGAAGTACAGGTAAGCAAGCTTTGGCTGTACTTCTCCTTTATGTCTGTGGGGAGAAAATAATGGAGCCCTGATAGCAAGGAGCCATTTCAAGCCAGGACAGCAGGAGGAATCTGCAGTAACCATCCAGAATACAAGTAAATGAGGGTGTCGAGGTCAGAAGGCCAACCTACAAATGTGCTTAGACCTACAGAAACGTCTTTCTAAGTGCTTGTGGTGAGTACAGTAGCCAGTGGACTGAAATAAAAAGTCATTACAAGTACATAATATATTAACGGCATGGCTGTGTTATATTTACGATAGGCTTAAATAGGATTGGGGGCTATAAGAAACTGCCAACTATTTAGGTTTTCTATATGTGAAAGGTAGCAAGGGGCCTACTGCAGATTTGTGTGGAAATTCCTGTGCAGTAACATAGGCAGTGTTTTCACACATCATCAAATTACTGAACAAAAACGGTGGGGTGGACTGGTACAGCAATGCCTTGAAATATAAAGTACAGAGCAGGAAGTATGCAAACAAAAAACAAAAAAACAACAAAGCAAAAATGTTATACTCTGTTACTGTATCTCAAGTGACAGAGCTTACACAGGGTTGATGACATCCTCCTTCTCTTCATGTGACAGAATTCATATCTGACAATTGGCCACTCAGGCCCAAGCATTGCATCGTGGGAGGAGGTCACAAGCTCCCCTGTACTCAGAAGTAGCAGGTTTTGGTGATGACTCCAACCAAGCGGTGAGGGAGCACTATGAAGGTAGGAATCAATAGGTCAGGGGGTCAGTTAGTAAAAGACTCTAAATGGGCTTAGTGTGTTCTTAAGGCTGCTTTCACACTGATCAGTTTTTCTTCTGTTTTTGTGTTAAAAAAGTGGAAGAAAAATGCATGACTATTAAATCCTATGGCAATCTTCACCAGGGTGGATTTGATTTAAATCAAACTGATTTAAATCACAATTTAAATCACGATTTAAATCACTAGTCAGTAAGGCTTGATTTAAATCCTAGTTTTCTACATAAAGACTAATTCTTGCTGGTATAACTTTAATATGCAAGTAGATGAAGATTTTTAGAATAACAACTTTTCATATTAGTTTTTTTATCCCCAGTTTAATAGGTTAATCATTCATATTTGGACATATTATTAAGGTAATGATGAGAAAAATAATCATTACCTTAATAATAACAATTTAAATAGATTTATTCATCTGAAACAATAACATTCCAGCATATGTGATTTGCTTAAACACCCATGTTTGTTAACTAATTTGGCTAAACAAAATCTATATATTTGAAGAAACTTAGACTGTCAGCCCCTTCCTCCTCACACTTAGTTTCACTTTCTTCTTGTGCAGATCTATTCCACTCCAAACAATCAGAAAAATATTGTTTCTATTCTATTCACTGAACTTCTTGAAACTTAGCACTGAAGGGGTTGATTCTGTATTCATAGGTTTGTAGAAGTTAGGATTAAGGACTTTTTCTTAACTCTGTTCATGTTATAACATTTTTTGCTGTGAAGAAGAGGCATGTGATCTCCGCTGAGTCAAATTCAGTTTTGAGAACTGCAAAAGTAAACCGAACATCTGTGATAATATCTTGTAGGCAGAGAAACTGCCCAATAATCTTACAAAAACCTCTGGAAGAGCATGACATTGTGAATGGATTCATGGAATTTATTTACCAAAAAAATTAAACATATACAGCCTTATTCTACATAATTAAAAAACTAACCTTTAATTCATGATGGAATAACCTTTGGATGGTAATATATTTTTCCTCAAAAAGCATTTTATTTCAAAAAATCCGATTTAAATAAAAAAAATCCGATTTAAATAAAAAAAAATCTGATTTTTTTGACTTTTTAAAAAAAAAAAAATCATTGATTTTTATCCACCCTGCTCTTCACACTGGTCAGTTGTGGGTCCATTGCATTTTTCAAAATTCCTGCTTGCTGCATTTTTGGTGCATGTTTAATGTGGTAAAAAAAAAAAACACTAAAAATGCACCTTCCCATTGAAATTTACTGAAAATGCATCAAAAACACGGCAAATCGCAGCAAAAATGCACCCGCAGTTCCGTTTTTGGTGTGTTTTTTTTAGTCCATATTCTTTTTACACAGGTGCAAAAAACGCACTGGAAACACAGCACAAACGCGGCAATGGAGCAGTGTGAAAGTAGCCTTAAAGACACTTTAGGTCCCTAAACAAATGGCAATCTCCAGCATTCAAATTATACTCACCTCTCTGGTGGCCTGTGCCTCCTACCTTCTCTCTGGTTCAGTGCTGCAGCTTCCCTAAGACTTTTGGCATGTGACGCTTTCAGGGGTATCGGATGCCTGAGCCCCCCATTACACAATGGTTTCTTCCAGTGTACCCTATATCACTTCTGTGTACTGTAGCAATGTATGGTTTGGAGGGTGAAAGTTTTACAAAGGCCATGACACCCAGACCAGCAAATAGGTCATTCTAGCAGCTGTTCTTTTACAGTGTATTGCTATTTGCATTTGTTAAAAACCTAACATGGTCCTTCTGAAGAAGCCTTTCTCAACTAGGTTCCTCCAGGAGGTTGCCAGAGGACCGTTGAGCAATTAGCAATTTCTGCCTCTCCGATAGGTGACAACTAACAACAACCCTTTTTTTTTAACTATCTGTAAAGGGGACATTCTTCTAACAGATCTATACTATAACCAGCATACCACCAATATAAGGAGCATTTTTTGTGAACACATGACATAAAATGTCCTCAGAGTCCCATCATTACCCTTTACATAGAAGAGTAAGAGAAGTAGAGGAGTCCTCGGTACAAACATCTATCAAGACAAAGATAAAAAAAAAAACACGAGTTGAGTCAAAATAAGGCTCCATGTACACTGCAGCTGATAAACTCACGTTTAGGAGCTTTTCTGCATTTTTTTTTCAGCCCCTGAACTCTCCCTAATGTTTTCCTATGTGTCCGTGTACACAGCGTCATTTACAGGCAGTTGAGTTTACAGTCGTATTTTGAACGCAGGAAACTTGCGTTCAGGAGTAGATTTTATCAGCATTTCAAACGCCAAATGCTTGTAAACACGACTAACCGCGTTTATAAGCGTTTGTATTTGGAATTTTTTTTTTAACTCTTCCATTACCAGATGCTGTCCAGAGCCTTGTTTCATCATGAAAAATGCATGCAAAGCGTTTTCCCGGTACTCAAATGGACCCGGTACACCATACTTTGAGGTTTTGCATGAAAAAAAATATGTTAAACACGAGTGCAATAATTTCTGCACAGAAATGAGCTGGAACACATCAAAACACCACAAAAAAAAAAAAAAAAAAAGACAGCTAATCTCAACAAATACTGCTCTCTCTACTTCTGCTCTCTCTATTTCTCTCAAAATGTCTGAAATAGTTAATTTTTTACTGTTTTTCAGTGCATTCTGGGCATTTGGGAAGGTCTCCTGAGGTTATCTTTAAAAAACGCTTCTAAATGCAAAATGCAAACGCTCATAAATGCGCAAAAATGCGGTATGCAAACGCGGCTAAACAAACGTGTTTTAACCTACGTTTTCCAGCAGTTTCCATCGCTCAGAAGTGTTCCGTGTACATGGAGTCTTAGTCTTTTTATCTTTTGTCTTTTTGAAGGAGCATTCTTTCCACTAACTGCCATACAACTGTGCTGTTAGCATTAGATGTAATAATTATTAGCAGGGGTTCCGAAATCTAAAAAGAATTTCAAGGCTGTTAATATGGTTGAGAAAGCCTGCTTTAAAACCTTCTAACTGGAACCTCTCTGATCACAGACATAAAAATACCCTCAGTCAAGTATTAGAAATTGCAGAGTTAATCTATCCCAGAAGAAAAAGTTGTAAAAGTGGTAGAAGAAAGTGGTGTACATATGGAAATGTAGAACATGGCAGTAGAAACGCCTGCATGCCTCTAGCAATTGTTAAAGCAAACCATATGCTTTGGATCCATTACTGAACCCTTTGTGAGTACAGTATATATATCACATACTTTACCCCGAGGAGAGGCCCGTGTGTTTATGTAACTTGCACTTATCTTTGAGCTCAGTGCCTTATGACCATATGAAACAAGTAACACTCACAAACTCTCCGAGTAATCCCCGTCTTAGGAGTGGAAGGACCTCACTGCGAGGAGTGTCGAGGAGGGACATAGCATAGACTTTCTGCACACCTTGCCTGGAAAAGAGAACGGCTGGAGGATGGACGTCATACTTCTCTGCCCTGAGAAAAAGAAAAAGGAATTTTTAAGTAAAGTGGAAATGTTTTGTCTGCTATATTTCTACATTTGTCTATATTTCAATAGAAACCCAAATGGAAAAGCTTAGGCCTCATTTTTCAAAAGCAGCTGGTAAAAAAATGTAGCAAGGTTTATAGCAATCAATCTGCTCCTCACAAGACCTCCTGCTCTTTAGCTCCCTTGTCTCCTCCTCCCATGTTCATCTCCAGGACTTCTCCAGAGCTTCCCCCATCCTCTGGAACTCTCTACCCCAATTTATCAGACTATCGCCTACTCTGCTCACTTTAAGGCGATCTCTGAAAACCTATCTCTCTTCATTCTTTTTGGGAATTTATGTGGTTTATCACAAAAAGGTATATGTATTATATTGTACTTTCTAGGGAGAAAGTGTGACTTTTTGGTGGGAGTTGAGTTAAGGAGGTCATTTATATATTGATCTCTGAAAACCTATCTCTTCAGAGAAGCCTATCCTGCCCTCAGCTAATGGAATCTTCTACTCTTCCAACCAGTCCATCCCCCCCACAGTTACTACTTTTTGTACCACTAGCCCCTCCCTCTTAGATTGTAAGCTCCCAGGATCAGGGCCCTCCTATCCCTCTTGTATTGAACTGTATTGTTGCGGTATTGTCTCCCGTTATATTGTAAAGCGCTGAGCAAACTGTTGGCGCGATATAAATCCTGTATCATAATAATAAGAAGATAATTTTCAGATGTCACCTGCTATCCCTCTGTCCAGATTAGAAAAGGAAAAATCCAGTTTGCTAATGAAAAAGCTCTGAATTCAACCTAGTTCCTAGATTGTAAGCTCCCAGGAGCAGGGCCCTCCTATCCTTCTTGTATTGTCTCCCGTTATATTGTAAAGCGCTGAGCAAACTGTTGCAGCTATATAAATCCTGTATAATAATAATAATAGTTGGAGCATACATTGGGGTAAGAACCCCCCTCCCCTTCATGTAACACAGCTCCAACCTAGTGATTGGATGCTGCTTCACGTGAGGGTGAAAGTGACATACCATATTTTTCGTTCCATAAGACGCACTTTTTTCCCCCAAAAAAAGGGGGGAAAATGTCAGTGCGTCTTATGGAGCGAATGTAAAGCGGCCGGTCCGGTATTTCTGCCGCCACCATGTCAGAATATCGGGCCAGCCACTCAGCTCTTCTCTCCTGCAGGACCTTACCTGTCTGCAGTCTTCCCGCGGCGGCTTCTGTGACAGCCGGGTGCCCACTGCCAATGTGCGAGAAGCGCTGCGCTTTGTGAATGGTCCAGTGTCTTCTGGGACACATGAGAGGTCCCAGAAGGCTCTGGGCCATACACAAAGCGCAGCGCCTTTCGCGCATGCGCAGTGGGCACCCGGCTGTCACAGAAGCCGCCGCGGGAGGAAGAAGGAAGGACAACTCCGTGGAAGTGGGAGCGGGTACCTGTCAAATTCAGGTACCCGTTCCCCCTCCCTCCCCAAAGGTCCGCAGTCTCTGGTAATCTCTTTTACTGTCTGCAGTCTCTGGTCATCTGTACTATGTCCGCAGTCTCTGGTCATTCCCTGTACTGTGTCCGCAGTCTCTGGTCATTCCCTGTACTGTGTCCGCAGTCTCTGGTCATTCCCTGTACTGTGTCCGCAGTCTCTGGTCATCCCCTGTACCGTGTCCGCAGTCTCGGGTCATCTCCTGTACTGTGTCTGCAGTCTCTGGTCATTCCCTGTACTATGTCCGCAGTCTCTGGTCATTCCCTGTACTGTGTCCGCAGTCTCTAGTCATTCCCTGTACTGTGTCCGCAGTCTCTGGTCATCCTCTGTACTGTGTCTGCAGTCCACTGGTTCAGAATATATTTTTCTTGTTTTTCTCCTCTAAAACCTAGGCGCGTCTTATAGTCAGGTGCGTCTTATGGAGCGAAAAATACGGTAATCCTCCATACCTGAAAGTACCAGGTATATCACTTGACTGACAAATTGTGGTGTTGGAGCATGAAAAATGTAAGCATAGGCAGCGATGCAAATAGTCTAAGTGCAGGATCACTATTTTTTGTGCTCAGAAGAAAATGCTGACATTCTGATGTCATGGGTGAGACGCATGCAGAGCTGTGAACATATGGCAGAAACTTCTTCCATAGGCAACCAACACTGTATTCTTAGTCTCTTCATGGTAATAAACAAAATATTAAGTGTATGTAAGCCCAGAACTTTCACTTGTTTGGTCCCTTCTTCTGTTACTGTAAATATATCAATGAGAGTCTTTTGTTATAAGTGCAAATAAATATCTATTAATCCTTCCAGAAATTCCGTGAGCTCCTAACATCCTGTAGTGAGCCGACAGCTCTGCACTGAAATCACAAACATCTCAGAGCTTGAGAAGGGAGCACGCTTCTGCCCTTAGTGGCTTAGCGCATGCTCCAAAACGCGTTGCTTTGCATGCTGGCCCCCCATACGTCATCACGGTGATGCCGACGTTGCACTCTGAGGAGCGCTCCAGATGCCATCTTTAGAGACTTCATGTGCCGGCCGGCAATCCTGCTACATCCACAGTCTTCTTTGGTGCGGACACGGCAAATACAGCAAGGCCACAGCTATACATTACACTTACCGGAGCCTTCCTTATTTTATACAATGTGAGTGGCTTTACATTGTTTCCGTAATACACATTGTTACATACTGCACTTAGAGGCACTTTTTTCCTTCTTACTCCCTATGGACTATATAGCATGCCTGCCCATTATGTTATATGGATTTCCCGTCCCACTCCTGGAACAAAATACATTCGGGCTGAGCGCAGCTCAGCCATTCACAGGAAGCTTTGCATTCTATGGATGAATACAAACCTTCCTCTGACAGGCTGAAGCGGAGATCCCTGACTTCATCCACCTGCCTTTCCAAAGGAAGCTTTGTATTTATTCATAGAATACAAAGTTTCCTATGAACAGGAAAATCCCATCCCACTGCCAGAACCCAGTGCTGTACACTCTAAGTGGCTTAGGCTACATACAGTTAAAGGCTAAGCATGGGCGGACTAACAACTCATGGGGCCCCCAGGCAATAGGGGATCATGGGGCCCCTGTGTCCTCACCCACACTCAAACCACACCCCAAAAAAGCCTATGAAAGGTATCAGGGGTATCTCATGGGGCCGCCTACTGACCCCGGGCCCTCAGGCAGTGCCCGAGTTCCCAAATGGTCAGTCCGCCCCTGAGGCTAAGTTCACCTTTGGAACATGTTACATATTTCACCTGTATTTAAGATGGAACATGTAATATGTTCCAACTCCTGCCTCTCCTCCCCCCCTCCATGTGACAGCAAGTGGGGGATCTTCTCCCTGTACCCACTGTCAACATTTAAAAACAGCACAGCTGTGTGGGGCTCTGCCGGTGAATGAATACAGAGTCCGGTGAATGAATGAACTACAAGTACCGTCAGCCATTGCGTTCGACGGCTTGTAATTCTCAATGAAATGGGAGGGCGCTGTTGAACGCTCTTGTAGTTCATTGATTCTTCCTGGAATTTAGTATGGGCAGACAGTGCATTGAGAGTCTACATTGCACCCACGATCTGCTGATTGTGGGTGCAATGCTTTGCAGGCTCCAATGTAAAATAAATAAATAAATAAATGCACATTTTTCTAACTGCAAAAAAATGTGCATTTATTATTTTTTAATAAAAGATCAATTAATCCTTTAATACAGATTGTAAGCTCTAATGAGCCGGGCCCTCTGTTTCCTCTTGTACCAAATTGTATTGTAACTGTAATGTCTGCCTTCATTTTGTACAGCGCTGTGCAAACTGTTGGCGATATATAAATCCTGTATAATAATAATAATACTGCAACTCCCTCCTCACTGGCCTGCCTCGCCGCTGGCTATCCCCGCTTCAGTCGATCCTGAATACAGCTGCCAGACTCATTCACCTTACCAACCGCTCCATCTCCACCACCCCCCTCTGCCAATCCCTCCACTGGCTTCCTATTGCGCAACGGATCAAATTCAAAATCCTAACACTGACGTACAAAGCTGTCCACCATACTGCCCTGAACTACATCACTGACCTAATATCCAAGTACCACCCAACACGCACACTCCGCTCCTCACAAGACCTCCTTCTCTCTAGTTCCCTGGTCTCCTCCTCCCATGCCCGCCTCCAGGACTTCTCCAGGGTGTCACCCATCCTCTGGAACTCCCTGCCCCAACCCATCAGATTATCACCTACTCTCCTCTCCTTTTAGGCGCACCCTGAAAACCCATCTCTTCAGGGAAGCCTACCCCACCCCCTGCTAACTTGCCGACCTCCTCCACTCTTCCTACCACTCCATCCCCCACAGCTATCTCCTCCTGTATCACTATCCCCTCCCCCCTAGATTGTAAGCTCGAAAGAGCAGGGCCCTCAATCCCCTCATGTTTTGCATTGTATTGGTATTGTTCTGTCACATGTTCTGTCCCCCTTTGTAATGTACAGCGCTGAGCGAACTATTGGCGCTTTATAAATCCTGTATAATAATAATAATAATACAGCGCTCCCAGCAAACACACCTGTTAACACAGCATAGCGTTTGTTTGAGCCAGCTTGGTCCAAACAAACTATTTTATAGGAACATTAACCGTGGAGTTAGGCTTTAAATCAGCCTATTCCCCATACTACCCATCACTTACAAAAGCAAATGTATCCTGTGTGCCTATTGGGCAATATATTACATCTGCTTCCTCACATAAATTGTGTAAGAATATCCATAGAAGAAAATGTCCCAAACTTTACAAGACACCTCGAGTCCATCTCTACATGTGGCTGATATAAGACAATGCACAGATTTCGAGGTGGAGATGCAGATGTAAATGCTGGAAGCTCCTGATCAAATTCCTAATTTGGCGCACCAAATCTTGGAAGCTGGTTTACAGGATTACAATAGGAAAAAAATCTCTTTTATCCTGCATATTGGGCAATATAAACCATCTGCTTCCTTACATAAATTGTAAGTGTCAGAATGTGCAAATAGATCAAAATGTTCCAAGC